ACTTTATTGATTGATCGCTTTTAATGATAAAGTTTATGAATGTTTGTTAAGAATGTGACAAAATTAATATAATTAACTTAATTTACATTGAGTACAATTTCTTGTACTCTAAGAGACAAAATATTTATAATTTTAAGACAATTTTGTATATTTTAATTCATATAAATTATATTATACTTAAATATTGATTTTTTTAACATTTCGTAAAAACCAAAACGAAGCTAATGCGCTTAGTGCTGGCTTTTTTAGTTGGTGGTTGATATGATTTGGTGAATCAAAACAGTCTCTGTTGACATGGGATCACGCTAGAATCACTCTTCAAACGAGAGAGTTGGCAACGAGAACTAGTAGCAGTTTATGGAACTACAATGTGACCATAGTTTCAATGGCACAGTATTGCTAACTATTATAATGAGCGTTATTCATAACATCGATAACAGAAATAAAATACAATGAACGAATTAGGTACCACCGACAGGCACTCTGATTGGTTAGTTTGTGAAACTTCATTGCTTCGAGAATGTAATTGGATTAGATCAGTCCAAATAGTGTTTTTTACCATTGCCATTTTTTTGTTATTATTATTATTTATTTGTTGAGCATTGGCTGGATATCAGCTTAAACAAATAATTATGAAACTCGAAACCTAATATATTTAAACCGAAAAGTGAACCGTATAAAAAGTGTACAAAAACCCGCCATTTTTCAAGTTCTCCATTTTATTGCTTCGAATTTTAAAAATAAAATATCTGAAAATTCTCACGACAGTTTGTTTTTAAATTTATTTATATATATTATGGAAATCGTCCTGTAATTCTAATACGCGTATATCTAATTAATTTACCACGTCAAGGTAATGACTTTGCAGGCTCTTCACAAAAACATTCATAACTCTGTCATATTTTAAGTCTGACCTTATTCAAATATGAGAGGAAATTGCATAGAGGCTCAAAACTTCATGGTGTTAGTACGAAAGATACTTACTACTACCAGCCTTGTATTTATTGCATAAGAAATATCACGAAATATAGAGATAAGGGTTGGAACCCATATGACGTCAGCATGCTTGATGCTGAAACCGGCTTCATACATGGCTTGAAACGTTACACATTAAATATGTTTAGTGTGGACGCAGTACTGATTGACAACTGGGATTCCAAACTTAATCCTCCAGGATATGACGCCTATTAATTTAATGTTATAGTACAATTTTATTTACCTAGTAAAATGCTGATGTTGTAGTAACTGCACGTATGCATATGATGCCTGTTCAGCTGTTCTTAATTGAGGCTATCAGAGCAAAAGTGATTTAATTTTTGTTCTACATTATAGTACGTAATTATTAAATATTTTAACGCTATTTCATGTATTAAAATTTTAATAATTAGTTATATTGGTCATGTATGGTTGCTATATTATGTAAAATAATTAATTTGGCTATTTTTAAATCCCTTATTATTTATCTTCTATATGCATGGGGTTTCAACATGGGGCTATACCACTTTTGAACTGAATTATGTTGTTAGCTAATGGCTTAAACTCAGTTTTGTTGCATAATTAAATAATAATAGAAATAACAAGTTTTGGCATACTAGTGCCATCTGTCATTAACATATCTTTATAACAAATTTCTTCTCAAACCACAACAAGGTAAGACTTTTGGCTCTACATTCCTTTGTACTAGGACTTGGCAGTTATCTTGGCTAACACTGGTCATTTCATTGTTTGTCTCATAAACTATCACTGTACAATCCTGTGTATATGATTATCCATGTTACCTGGAATAAAAGAAAAAAAATGCAAATATATTACACTGTCAATTCCTATGTCAAAGTTTAGAAAATAACTCTTAGCACGTTAAGTATAAGGTATTTGACTCAACGTGTTTCATTGCTTCAGTCAATTCCTGTGCATGCTGAAAATTAATCCAAAATGAGTTTATTATCTTAATTAGTGCTAATACATACTGGCAGACGGATTCACCATACCAACTTGTTCAGAATGACATTTGTTGGTCCAAAAATGTAAATGGGATTGTAATATGGTAACAAATTGTAATGCAGGCAAATGATAAACATAAATAAATTAACATGAGAAAATTTTATAAATGATTACCTTCCATTAAATTGTAGTCTGAGAAAGTGTAGCTTTGATTGCTTACATCAAATGTAAATTAAAGTATAATATAAGTTCAGTATGATTATCTCTAATTTCAGGCTTACTATACTATACATATGACTTTTTTATTTTCCTGATATTTCGGAACGGAAAGTCATACATATGAGTGATAATCATTTAGTAAATAACCACGAAAGCCTTAAAATCTACATAAGTTCAGTATATTCTGAAGATTACACAGAACATCAACAAACATGATGACCTCACTGGGTCCACAGTTTACATTCTAGATGCTGGATGAGGTGGTACTACGTTTGACTCCCGGAAGGACAAAATTGGGAAAGGAACTTTTCTAAATTGGTTTGTCTGGGTGTTCTGAGAAGTGCCTCAGAGTGTATTATGTTGCTCTGGTACATGGAATTCCCTAGTTTGAGACCAGGCAATTGGTGTAGTTGTCTGTCACATTATTATTACATATCAATCATTGACCTATGATATCAATACACAGTTTTATTGTATCCACCTGGGTTGTTAATGATGCATGGTTTTTTACACATCAGCAGACACTGATTTTATGTATTTAAAAAAAAAACGCGAAAAATGTTCATCCTCACTGAGTATATCTACAAGAAAAAGCTTTCTTTTGTTTTGGGTATTGTAATAAAATATTATTTCAATGATTTTTGGGACATTTATTAACAAAACAATCTGCCTAGCTTAATCATTGTGGAATTTTATCAAAGCTATGTTCTGAAAACAACACCTGAGCTTTTGTTTAGATTTCTGTGGCTGAGCTGCTTTTTCAGATATCAGTCTGTTTCTGGAAAGTTTGTAAGTTATTCCAGCTAGCTGTTTAGGTCATGTCACGACTCAAACACCCACATAGAAGCTCTGTATCAATGAATGCCGATGCTGATGCAGATATTTTAATTCATACAGATTATCCGCAGATGCGGATGCTGATATTCGCGACATCCCTAGTAATAACTATTATATGTACCTTTGTGGACAAGGACACAAGTTAGATACATTAATTTTAACAACATATTGCTTACCAAAAATCCAGCAAAGGATGTCATAAAGCCTTCTTTAAGAATTTCCCACATGCCACCATATTCCTCCTCATCTACAGTCTGGAAATTGTTCACATACAAATATATTACCCCAGCATTAACTGCTACAAATCTGAAAACAATACATATACTTTTACTTTTTGAAAGATGGCAAAAGCTGACCCAAAATCAACAAAGTGCCATTCATGGACATTGCTAGTATAATTTTTATGTTTTAGTTTATGCCTAGTTATCAATATATTTTTACGAGTCGGGAATAAACAAATTGCAAAAAATGTATTTTGGAATAGATGCAAGAACACAATATACCCATAAATTAGGTAATGTTCTTATATGTAAAAAATAAAACACAATGTGACAAAAATGTTTAAACAATTTTTAAATGAGAGATAATGATGGCTCCGTCGTTTTGCAACATTTTGACTAAAGACCTCTTGTCAATGTCACATTCATATTAAGAACAGTGTGACCATTTGTGGCAGATTTCTGCCATCTGGGCAGATTAAATCTAAACATCTGAAGCAAAATACAGGACAATGTTATAAATGTAACCTATATCAGCTTCATAACCCCAGCTTCTATAAGCTGTACTCAAATAGCTTTTTTGATGCTTTGATAATGAATCACAAGTATTGACAGGTCTCCTTAATAAACGTCGTCAAAATCATTGGGTCACAAAATACATGGGATGTCGCCATCCTTCTTCAAAGCAAGTACTGTGACGTATCTATAATACACGCACGCAATCAGTCTCCTCTATGGAATGGGTCATTGTACAAAAACATATTAAACACATGCAAATTATTTACCCATTGTTACTACAGAAGCATATATTAAGGTTGGAAATTGTATATTGTGCAAGCATATTATTTTCTTACGTACAGTGAAATGAGTAGATTTATAGGCGTTTAGGGTGCGAGATACCAAGGAAATAAAATTAGGCCAACAAAACTGATACTTACAGCAATAATCCAATGAAACCCTTCAATGGTAACAATCCCCAGCACAGGCCTAAAATTATGCCTATAGCTTGCCGCATCCAATAAATTACATCTAAAAACTCTTCCTGAAATATGCACAAAGCAGAAATATCAAAGGATTGATTAATTGTACATTGTTTAGTGCAATAAATTAGGCTAGAATCTCGTGACAAATTCTAACCTTGTCGGGCCAGTCTGTATTTGAAGTAAACGCCTTTTTCCACAAAGAATCAACCCCTTTACCCTTACTAACACCATCAGAAGTTTTATTCTTAGTCGACATAATAATATTCTACTTATATTGTTAGAAATTAATATAAGATCATTGGTAAAAACCAATCAATATTCGTCCGCATGAAATGATACACGTCACGTCACTGTCAGAATGACTTTTTGTTTCGTAAATGTGATACATCCGGTGTGGCCAGTGAAGTTAATAAAATTCTAATCAGTTTCGACCGCGTTCATTTGTGATAGCCAATTTTAAATTCAAGTGAAGCCTACAATCATAAAAGCATTTTACAAGTTTAGTTTATTTTGATTCTGATTGTTTCCATATCTTGCATATTCTATATAATTATATATATACAGGGTTACAGGAAAAGTCGTGCTAGATCCGTTAAGGGCGTGGAGTACTCATCATTTCTGACTTATTTTACTATGAAACACCCTACCCTAAACTTAACCGTTTTCGAGATATTTGACTTTTATTTTTTTTATTCAAAATTGCCGATTTTTAGGCTACTAAATTTAATTTTGTTTATTTTGTGTGTCTTATTATTATAATTATTGCATTTTTACATGTGTGATAAGATGCTTTAGGACCTCAATCATTAAAATAGTGAATAAGTTAATTCAATACGCCGTAGTAGAAAAGAGAAAGTTAAGAAATTAAAAAAAAATTAGAAAGTTTATTTTTCTCTAAGGGATATCTAAAAAAAATATTATGGCAGTTGATCGGCAGATCAGTTATAAAATATCTACGTTTCATCAGCTATCTAACAAGGTATAACAATCTAGGGTTTTATTTAAATGCATTGAAAAAACTTAGTTTCATAGGCGATAGTGGAGGAGAAAATTAATACTTAGCCCTAAAAAGTATAACAAAACAATAGGTAAGCATGCAAAGTATTTATTAAATCAGGTTTTCACACAACTTTTTGTTATTCTACAGTTCATGTTTAACATGGCCGCCTCTGTTTCTAATACATTGTCGCATTCTTCTACGGAGACCAGTCTTCACTACTCCAGTGGTCAACGTTGTCCTCATTTGATTTACTGCATCCTTTTCCTATATATATATGTATGTATATATTCTCGTGCATAGTTGTTTGATAAAGTTATGTGTTTCATACTTCACAAAAAGTCAACTTATGAAAAAAGTCTTTATTACAAAAACCAAGTACATACTTAAAATTAGATTACAACGTAGGTGCCACCCTATTTCCAATCCGTTGCAAACGATCATTCTCCATTTGCTTAGTAATGTCCCAGCATTGCTTGGTCAAAGTATCGTGACCGCGGGACAAGCTGACTAATCGTGCAAGCACTAACAATCTGTGCAGATCGTCGGCAGTGACTGGATTCTCGCTGTCTGCTTTACTGCGCATTTCTATGAAGTCGTCTTCTACGAACTGTGGAAAAGAGAATTGATTTTTTTGTTACGCAAGACATAGATATCTTAAAAGTAGACTTTTTTAAGCATTGTTGTATTTTTTCTATGCGAGAATAGCATTTTTCTGTTTGCAAGTCACGTGCAAGTCAATGACCTTTGTATCAAATTTGTTTACCGCAATTAAATAAAAAATAGGAATTTATGTCGCTCTCACGCAAGTCGCGCCTTGTCGTCCTAGTCCTACTGGACTATAATATGTATTCTGGAAAATTATTAAGGGCTATCCATACACATCAGGGCCGTGCCCGGGACGTGGACGGGGCGTGCGAGTTTGTATGAACTGCGGGCCCGTCCTGGCGCCGGCCCGGACACGGACAAGTGTGTACGAGTTCATACAAAATATACGCAACAATATTTTTTTAAGCCCCTGACGGAGCCCCTGATGGAGCACCGACCGGAGACCTTTAGGAGTTCTAAAATTCTGGCCACTTGGAAAAGATAAAGTATTTTTAAAGGAAGAGTGAGATTAGAAACCGCTTCAAATAAATATTTTGTATCATTTAAATGTAACATTTAAGCGTTATTAATTGATTCGATTTGAAATTAAACAGAAGTAGATATTTTTCAAATTCAGTTAAATTCGACGTGGTACAAATGCAGCGCAAACTACTCAAAACATTAAAGACGTTAATAGAGCGTATAGAACTGACGAGCACTGGAAATTTTAACCTGACAAAAGTGCCTCGTACACGACATAGCTTGACAAGTTGCGAGCTGTAAATGCAGCCATCTCAAATAAAGAGGAATTAGCAGCATAGTTTTATTTATATATACATATACCGATATATTAACCGCCTCTCTGGCCGAACGGTTACCATGCCGGACTGCCACGCAGAGGACCTAGCTTCGATTCCCGAGCTAGGAGAAATATTTGTATGGCCTATTAAATGAAGGAGTGAATACAGTTTACATTTATAATGCATCCAAGTGAGTAAATTAAATAAAGTTTACTAAAATCGTGTTTAATGCACCCAGGTGATTTAAGTTTACCAATACTTATAATGAAATAAGACTGTCGAATTTCATATCAATTCTATGAAAATATAATATTCGCTCTTCTAGTTGCAGTTGTATCCAACATAAGACAGATGTGTACGTTATTTGCACCAAATGGGTAAAATAAAAAATTTGCACCTACCACCAAAATATTTCTATTTTAGCGACCGGTCAAAAAGTAATGAGTGGTGAAGACTATACAATGATTTTTGTGTTGAATACCGTCTTAATTCTATGTATTAATTAATTATTATATCTGTATTATTATAAGTACCTGTAATTCATCATTAATAGTATACTTGACAAGTTTTAAAGTAGTCAAATATGTCCTGATTACATTCATGATTTCCTCTTTCAAGTAATAAGTAGCGGCTTCCACAATAGCGTCGAATATTTCTAGAGATGATTCTTCCGGTTTTAAGGGTACATAGTAGTTGCTCTGAAAAAGGCCATTTAAAATTACAAGTCTATATGAGTTATCCTGCATAATTTGTTAAGATGTTTAACTTATACTACGACGAGAAACGTAAAAATTAAATATTGAATAACAAATGAATGAGTGAGTTTCTACGATACGACGTCGTGCCGTAAGTCGTGCAACGTTGCGATGTCGTGTCGTGAATTTTTACGTTGCTCGTCGTATCGTGTTTATGTGTAAGAGCCCTAACTTAATAATAAATGAAATAGTTTATTTTCACTTATAACATGCATGCTGCAAGTAATATTCTGACACTCATTTCACTTATGAGTGAAAGATTCGGAGACAGAAGTTCGAAATAATTTAGATCAACGCTATGCATGGTTTTTTAAAAGTTCATAATCGCTCCCTGGTTTCCAACGTACAATTGTAAATACTAGTTGGTAGATACGTATACATCATAGTTTGTTTTATTGGTGCTGAAGAGTCCTAGGGGGCGGTGGGGGAAGCAATTGGACGGCGGTGATGCCTCCTTGTCAGTGTAGTGTTCTGTAGCTGATCTGGTGGCTGTCGATGGCATGCTAACGCACTTGAAAAATAAAACTTGAATTATCTATATAAAGTAAACTACACGTATATATTTTTTTCTTTGTGATCATTTGTATTAAGTAATATAAGAAATATGTGTCTTCAATTATTTTTGTGATGGGGCGTTGAAGCTTTTTTATCTTGCCTAAGTGGGCGGTGAGCTAATAAGTTTTCGAACCTATATTATACATGGTTCGACGAAAGATGATAACAAAAAGCAAAAATAAAAGTCACAAATTTTTAAGTATCCACGACTGTGTGCATGTGTGTGTGTGTGTGTGTGTGTGTGCGCGTGCGTGTGTGTGCGCGCGAGCGCGCGCGTGCGTGTGTATGTATGTTGGTGTGCGTGTCATTGAGCGCGTGCGTGCGAGATTGGATAAATGATTAAACTAAGCATAATATAAATGGGGTCTTACAAAAAAGAAAGTCACAATTCATATACTTACAGGCAGCAAAGATTTCCCTTCCGAAAGTACAAGAACAGGTATATCAGAATCAAATTCCATCTTATAAAACTTAAAATCGTATTCCACTTTCTGAGTATTGATCAAATTTCCCAATGCCGCAATGTTGTGTACGCCTGTATTGTCTAAACGGCCTTGCTCCATTTTAGTTTCGTCTAAGACAAGATGGGTGCCTTTACTCAGTTGTAAAACGGCACTGGTTAGTCGATTGCAGTCATAGTCTTTTCTGTAAAGTTATTTATCATTTTCTAATCATGGACTTCTTTTATATAACAAGATAAACAGAAAGCAGAATTCGAAACAATTTCAAACAATCGCTTTTTAGTAATAAGAATTCTAGTCCTACAATTTATATATTTGATTTATTGTAAAAATAAAGAAGTAATTAATTAATAAAACTCAATTCTTTTACTTTTCGATACTTTTCATTTCAATTCCTTTTCTTAAAACCGGTTACAACAATCACATTCGTTTCGTTTAAATCACTTTATTTTACAAATCAACTAAAACATTAACCTACTTACTTAGGTTGCAAGGCCAGAGAATTCATATTATCAACAGTGAGAGGCAGATAATAGCTCTTGGTGACAAATTGCTTAATGATATCGTAAAGCTGCTTGGCGTAGTTGGGGTATTTGTCTGTAGGTAAATTAGACAGATTTAAGCAGAACTGACCAAGGGTCATTGTGTCTTGGCGGAGGTACCTGAAAAATTTGTAGAAATAAAACGTATTGAGTGCTTACATATAAAATGTACAAAAATGTATGTAAAATGTATATGCTCAAGTCCTGACTTGAGCATATCTGGAACACGACCCTTAGGGTCGTATTCTAGAACTCTACTCAATGCTCAAATAATCATGCTCAAGTCCTTGCCATTAGGGTCGAATTTCCAGTGCTTGAAATCATACTCAAGTCCTGACTTGAGCATTGAGTAGAGTTCTGGGTAATACGACCCCTAGAGTGGTTACACACAGCGACGCAAACGCGCGTTCGTGAAACGCCTGATGGCATCACTACACTTGCGATTTACAGGTCATTGCATCGATACAAACGCGCGATTGCATCGAAACAAACGCGCGACTGCATTGATACATGTTGAATAATTATGTACGAAAAATCTGTATAGGTTTATGCACATTATTTTGTTTTGTTAACTGTAAATTTAAAAGTAAGTAAGAAATTAATAAATACATGAAATAAATAAATTAGTTAATTAATTTAAAACGTGCATCGCGTCAGCGTCGCATTTGCATCTCTGTTTAAACTCGCCGTGTGTAACAACTCTTACTAAAAAAGAAGTAAACTAAATATAAAACTCACACAGAAGCAATAAGATGACAAATGAGATATTCAGCAGCCAACTGATCTCCAAGCAGCAATTCTGTCAATGCTTTTAGAAGATGCTCCCTGGCTGCATTTGCCTCTTTTAGTGCCAACTCTGGAAAGATAATGACTATGTTCTAGACATTTAAAATTCTAAACGAAGTAGTTTTGCTGAGGAAATTTATGTTTTCTTAAGAATTGGCTTTTACGACAGGTACATTTTACGTAAGTAAATCTTTTTATAGTAGTCGAATCGAAATTTTAGGGTCGTATTCTAGAACTCTACTCAATGCTCAAGTCAGGATTTGAGTATGGCTTAAAGCACTCGAAATCATACTCAAGTCCCTGCCATTAGGGTCGTATTTCCAGTGCAATCCTGACTTGAGCATTGAGTAGAGTTCTGGAATACGCCCCTTAAAGTGGTGAACTGGACAGAAATATGAACAAAGGATTAAATAAACGCAAAGAGCTACATACCCTGATCAAAACAACCTTTAACCAAAGGATTACAATGATCCAATTTCTTGACGAGCACAGCATGTACTCTAGGAACTAGACTAGGTGGTGGGTTATGTGTTATTATCTCTGCCTCACTTTCTACTGAAAGCTCTATTAGGGAATTTGTCTCTGGTTGGAATTCTCCAGAAAGGGCTGGGTCTACAGATAGGAAACCTACTATTTCCACCATATCATTCAGTTTTAAGTCGTCGCTTTCATCATATATCTGAAATAATAAAGAGACTACATGTCCACATTTTACTAATAGTATCGAAAGATGAGAGGTAAGACAAATTAAAAACCAGTTTTTTATTTCATAGTTAAATGAATAACCATATTTTGAAAGTTTTTTTTCAGTTAGTCTTATTTAATTATTTACTATCTATTGGAGCAATAAACGTTTTTGACGTAACTCCACTTATGCCATTCTTCCATGGGTGCATACTATAATTCCAATGCACACAAGTACAATTATTTTTCTTTGTTTTTATGCTCGACACGTTTGACTTGATGGTGCATGGTCAAACTAAAGTTTTCTTTGCAAATATTTCTTAATAAATAAAATGTTGAAATATGATTAAAAAATAATTTAAATATCAAAGTTACCTTTGCAATACAAGACTTGCTAGGCACATCAGGCAATGGAAAATTTAGCAAATGTTCTCTTGAAACTGCTTTTGTGGAACTATCCACATTTTCATCTGTCCTCCGTTCTTTACTTCCTACTTCATTTTCAACAATATCCATTGCATCCGCATCTTCTTCTGCTTCCTCATAACTCCGTTTAAGTTTTATGTTCTGATTGAGTCGTTTGGAGGTGTTTGGCTGGTTTTGTAAATGTCTCAGGCAGTTGTCTTTGTCTTCTAAAGTCTGTGCCCATTCATTAAGGCCAGGCAGTGAAATAACTACCATAGTTTGTCTTTGTGCACCTTTAAAGTTTTGTGCATAGTTTACTTTTTCATTCTCCTATAAAGCAGTTGCTGAGTTAATTCTGTTTATTATTATAAATATTAGAAAGAATTTATTATTATAAAAAAAAAGTACAACAAAACTAAAATAGAGAGGAAAAAAAAACAATTGAAAAAAGTTATGTATGTGGCATAAGGATCCACTCAGCTAATACCACAGCCGAGATTAGGCTGTGATGCTGATACTTAACGTTTTCTTAATATATAATTTGATTAATAATAATAATAATAACACACACACACTCAACATCGCCCCGCACTAGGGAAACCCTGTGTCGCGGGTGCCATGGACACACATACAGGTATAGGCAACCACAAATTACACCCAAACTCACGAGAGAAACAAATGTAGGTCATACAAATATTTCTCCCGGCCCGGGAATCGAACCTGGGACCTCTGCGTGGCAGTCCGGCATGGTAACCGTTCGGCCACAGAGGCAGTTAACTAAACAGTGTTAAATAGTTTTTTTTTATTATAAAATATAAGTGCACATTTGACCTCCATCTCACCTGATGGAAAGTAACGATAAGGGCGACGATGGAGCATGCACACCTAAATAATGCCTATTCACTCACTCCTTGAAAAGGCCCAAGTTTTAATGTTCAGGGAACAAGTCTGCTGGCAGGGAATTCCACTCCATATAAACGTGGAAGCGTAACGCCTCGTGCGAATCTTTGGAATATCCACAATATAGGGGTGGCACCCAAGCCTACGCCTAGTCCCCTGGTGATGGAAAGGGGAAGGCGGAATTAAATCGTGTAATTCCAATGCACACTCTACGTGATATATCCTGAAAAATACCGACAAGCAGACAACTTTACGGCGGTGTTCAAGGCTTTGCAGCTTCGCCTCCACTAATTCCAAGTCACCAATAAGCCTCTTGACACGATTGTCAATTGAATCCAAAGTGGCCAGTTGATATGTAGCAGAGCCATCCCAAAAGTGGCAGCAGTACTCCATGCACGACCGGAATTGTGCTTGGTACAGCTGAAGCAACTGTCCCAGTGTGAAGTAACACCCCACCCTGGAAAAGATGCCAAGCTTCCTTGCTGCATTTTTGGCCATGGATTCAATTATCTGCCGAAGTATTAAGTACCTGCCGAAGTTCAAATTGGACGACAGGTCCATTCCAAGTAGTTGGATACAGTCGGCTATCGGTATAGATATATCACGAAAAGTTGGAGTCAGCTTGAAGGGATTCCGTTTTGTGGAGAATAGACACGCCTGAGTTTTGGTTGCGTTAAATGTGACAAGATTGGCATCGCCCCAATCGGAAACTGCCTGGAGTGTCAAATCCAAACAGCTAACCATGGACTCTTGACAAGACTGGATTTCCTCTCCACTGATCCTTACATTGGTCAAGTACCTATCTACAACTGTGCTGTCATCAGCATACGCAAAGGTACCTGGAATTAACATATTGATATGTAGCAGAAAGAGAATTGCAGACAGTACGGAACCCTGAGGAACTCTATCTATCTATCTATAATCTATTGCCACATGTTCAGAAGTGTAGCCTTCTAAGACCACTCGAATGTTCACTCAAGAAATACGAGATCCAATTGCAAAGGTCAGTGGGAAGTCCATAAGAGAGAAGCTTACTTAAAGGCTTTAGAAATGTCACATTTCGTTTTTCGTTTCGCTTCGCCTTGCTTTTCTATAGCCTCACTCCATATGTGACAGGCATACACAAGAAGATCCCCAGTAGATAGCCCTCGTCGGAATCGGTACTGGCGATCATAGAGGAGGTCGTTGTCTTCAAGGTACGACAGGAGATGTTTGTTGAGTATGCGTTCCATAGTCTTGCAGAGTATGGAAGTGACTGAGATAGGTCTATAGTTGACAGGGTCAGCTCTGCTTCCCTGTTTTGGCACAGGTTGCACTTGACCTCCTTCCTTGACCTGGGAGCTACACCAGTCTCAAGCGAGAGGCAGTATAGTTACATTTTGACTGTAATTTTTAAACATGTTTACATATTGCTTTATTGTTTACATAGTCATTTTGAATGTCATGGCATTTTTTTCATTTTTTATTACCATATAATAATAATAATGTCTATAATCAATTTTAAATTATTCACTACAGAAGGACTTAGATGCGATATTGGATTTACTCACAGAATGGCTCGATCAAAATAACCTACAACTAAATTAATTCAATTTAAACCCCGCCAAAAAATTGCTTATAATATATAAATCAAACAAATTAGAAATGGTAGATTCGGCAACCATGTTGGGTATTGAAATAGATACACACATAAATTGGAAACCCTATATTCAAAAATTATCTAGCCGTTTATCTTCACTTATATGTATATGCTCTTAGACAACTGAAACATGTTACTGATCTAAAAACGGCCCTTTCAGCTTATTATGCGTTTGCCCACTCGCGACTAGCCTATGGGATTATACTGTGGGGAAACAGCTCGTATTGTCAAGAAATTTTTGTTCTACAAAAGAAAATGATCACAATATTAACCAACATAAAACAAACGGACTCCTGTAAACCGTATTTTACAAAACTTAACATACTGACTCTAACATGCCTATACATTTTTGAAGCCTGTAAGTTCGTTAAAAAACACGCAGATTTATACTCTCCGATAAAATTAATAAGATGTAGTAATCATTACCATAACAAGCTTAAGCTTCCCCCCTCTAGCCTAAAATTATTTTCTTGTGCACCACACCCTATGTTAATAAAAGTATATAACCACATCCCAAATTATATTAAAAATTTGGATAGACACGGTCTTTGAAAAACGTTTAAAGGAATTTCTAAACAAAAAAACCTATTATAATGTCTGAATTTTTTGGCAATAAATGTATTTTAATTGATTTCATGTCTATATGAAATTTAGGTAATAATTGAAAATACAAATCAGTAAAAATTATTATTAGCAATAAGTGTACGAATAATATATATCATAATAATAAAATAAATGTACGAATAATATATATTATAATATATGTTAAAATAATTGTATCATTAGGTTTAAGTTTAAATTGTGCTACGTCCTAACAGGGTATCACATGTATGTATCTAAGTTTATTAAAATGTGAATTGCAATAAATGAAATTAAATTAAATGTAATAGTAATAAAAATGTTTAATAATAATAAAAATAATAATTTCATTAATTTTAAGATAAAAATATTATGTAATAATTATGTTTATTAATAATTATAGAATCTATAATAGAATTAATTATCTAAACTAATTAACTACGTTCAAGCTTGCAATGTATTTAAATTCCATTGTAACTTTGCTACACCCTTACAGGGTATCACATGTATAAGTTTATCATCCATGTGAAATGCAAATAAATAAATGAATGAATGAATGAATGAACATTTTAGGAAGTTTTATTCAGCGGGAAATAAAAAATAAAATTGTTTAATAAAGGAAAGAAAGGCATCGTAAATTTTTAAACATTGTCACTATGACAACTATACCATGAAAAGGTACTCTGCGAAGACCGTAAAATTATATGAACAGTAATTATGCATTTTTTATACTAATAATAACTTGGTTCATTAATTTAACCATTTCTTTTTTAAATTTTTATAGACAAAACAATACATATGAAATAAAATAAGAAACTAACCATAACATTACCAGTGTCCCTGTACTTGCCGGATTTATTCTTAATCTCATTGGTAACCGAATTGTATACCTCAAATTGTTCAAAATAAAACTCTGGATTGTGCATATCTTGTATCATACCACGAAAACGCACCAACGTGCCATCTGCCAGGTTGTGAGACGCATTCGAGTTAATTAACGGAATCTAGAAATAAAAATAACACAATACATTACATGTTGGACTAGCAATAGACATGGCTTGCGTATCATTATAGGTCTAAGTCTGCTAGAGGCAATACTTACTAGATTGTTTATATCTTTGATAAGAATGTAGTACAATACGCATAAACGATTATAATACACACTTCTATAATAAAGTAGCAAGATTATAAGGTTATATAAAGGTCACATAAATGTAAACAAAGAACATGATATATAAATGTATAAAAAGCCATGTATTATGATTACCCTGTGCCAATTTGGGAGATTCAGGAGCTTTTGCTTCCATTCCTCTTCATTTAATATCCACGCGTCCGGAGAAACAGTTTCAAAATCAGAAATTAAATCGTGCATATTGTAATAGTTTCTTAATCAAACAACCAACAAAATTCAATAAATATTGGCTTGTTGATGATAATTTCACTTAACTTTATTACAAAAATTATTTAAAAAATACGAAAATTTCCTTTTTATTGTTTTTGACAGCGCGCGAAATTACCGATACTAGCGATGCGCGACTTTGAATGATACTAATACTAATCATTCGAATGGGCAAATCATTCGAATAAGTCGAATCCAAGCACAATCATTCGACTCAAGTTGAATGATTTATCAATACCGAATGCCTTATAGTCGGTTGGGTGCACGAGTTGAATTATTATTATATCGGAACACCTAATTCATCTAGTCCATACCACAAAATATCCCTGTGCCCGTCACATTTACAGTGTTGTACCGTATGTCAGAGAGAGCTAGATGATCACGAGCAGAAATGCTCTATGGAATCTATGGATTAGTACTACTAATTAGCAATGAATGATCATTCAAATCATTCGAATACGAAAATTAGTAGGTTACTAATTCGAATGACAGGATTAGCGATTACTAACGTGTCGAATATTGAAATCATTCACAATCGCGCATCGCTAACCGATACCGATTAACGAATTCCGGCGTCCATGGTTGAGTGGTTGAGTGATAAATACCGGTAGCGGTACTTGCACAGTGCACAGTTTCACACACAATAGGAAGCTTCGAAAGAGGAACCACTCGCAGACGTTGAATACAGTTTTGGGCAAAATTTAATTGTTCAGATAATTAAAGATTAACAATTAATTAATTGTCAATTGCGAAACAGCAATTAACAATTGATTAATTGTTAATAGCTGTTCTCGCAACTAACAATTAATTAATTGTTAATTGCTGTTCTCGCAACTAACAATTAATCAATTGTTAATCGCGTATATCTACAATCAGCAATTGAACAATTTTCAGTCTTTACAGCGTTTTTTATTAACAATTAACAATTAAAACTGACAATTATGATAAATTTAGAGGGCAAGTGAATGAGTGGGGAGTGAGTGGTGTTGAGTGGGGAATGAATGGGGAATGAGAGGGAGTGACGAGTTAGTGAGTGAGTGCCTCTGTTGCCGAATATAGCATGGGCAATATAGTATTTGGGGTGCTCTCGTAACGAATATGGCACTCCTTTCTAAATCCATGATGGCGGGCATGATTTTCCAAATAATTGGGAGTGAGTGGGGTGTAAGTGGGGAGTGACTTGGGAGTGAGTGGGAAGCCATCTTGAATTTAGAAGTAAACGCTATAGTTAATTAATAAATTAGCACCCCCTAATACCTCGAAAACGATACCCAACTTGCCATTATTTGAAAAGTCGTGCCCGCCATCTTGGATTTAGAAAGGAGTGCCATATTCGTTACGAGAGCATCCCAAATACTATATTGCCCATACTATATTCGACCACGGAGGCACTCACTCGCTCAATCCTTACTCACTCCCCACTCACTCTACACACACTCTCCGCTCACTCACCACTCACTCCCCTTTATTTGAAAAATCGATGCCCGCTATTTTGGATTTAGAAATGAGTGCCATATTCGTAATGACACTTTTATTCGATAGTTTTGGTTTTAATTGTTAGTTTCAATTGTTTCTTAGGACAATTTAAAAAATTAATCGCAATTAAAATCAATTGAATTAAAATCAATAGCAATTAAAATCAATTCAATTATTTATTTATTTATTTAATAAATAATTGTATTTATTTATTTGATGCACAAAACAGTTTACATTCAATGGTTTATTCATACTAAGTGCATTCCCTTACTGCTGTAACCTAGGCATCGTTCGTAATAAGTATATATATAACATAAATTCGCACATACATAATTTGACTTGCCGTCATAGTGACGTTATATTTTGTTTTGACATTAATAAGTTCGTAAGGAACTTCAAACTTTTTGAGGATAATTTACTTTTACCCCTAAGGTATCTAAGACATATAGCTAGTTTGCTATCTTTTAATATTAAGGACGCTGTTATAGAAAATATAACACAGTCCCACGACAATGCTCCTACTTTAAGTAGCAACAGTATACATTTTACTAACCATAATTTAAACTAAAAAACACGACAACAGAAAAGTCTAATCGTTTCCATGTAGTACATCAAAATATTCAAGGCTTTTCTGGCAAAATATTAGAAATAAGTCTTTTTTTGCACGATATTTCCGTTGACGTGTTTTGTGTTACAGAACACTGGCTGAAAGATTACGAAGCCATTAACAATATAGAAAATTATGTAATAGTCAGTTCGTTCATAAGAAAGAGCTTAAGTAGAGGCGGATTCATGATTATTATTAAGCGTAACTTAAAATTTAAAGAGCGTAAGGATATCACAAATCTTTCTACTGAACGAACTATTGAGATTTCATGTGTGGAATTGGATCAGTTTGTCGTCTTATGTGTATACAGGCCCCCCTCTGCTAATTTTAACGAGTTTGAATTAATTATGGAAGACAGTTTAAAGCGGATTTTTCCAACCAAAAAAAACGTAGTAATATGTGGAGATTTCAATGTAAACCTGTTGGAAAACTGTTCTACTTCTGCAAGACTCATTAATTTATTTCAAAGTTTTAACTTGATTAATCTTTTTTTAGAACCAACTCGCATTACTGCCTCCTCTTCTACTTGTATTGATAACATCTTTTGTAACACAGACGCAGTGTCTAAATCAATAATAAATTGCTTAAGATCCGACCATAGTGGCCAATTGGCTTCTTTTAATTGTAAAATGAGCAAGAAGGTAGACCAATTTCTCTGCAGACCGATTACCACAGAACGAATAATTAGATTTCAAAATAATATCGGCAACAGTTTAAATTCCCTATCCCATATACCGGAGGATCCAAATACTTTATATAACACGATATTTGGTTTAATTAAAAATGAATTTGACAATATATTTAAATCGAAAACATTAACTTTCCATAGAGAGACTAAATTCAACGACTGGGCAACAGTAGGTATTCATAAGAGTAGGTCTCGTTTGTATGAGCTATATGCTATGAAAACTTATAATACTAATTCCAATTTCATAGAATATGTTAGAATTTATTCGAAAATATTTAAAAAAGTTTGTGTAGCTGCTAAGGTTAAGTTTCACAGCGACAAAATTAGACAATCGATAAATAAATCTAAAACTACTTGGAGCATAATAAATAAAGAGTCAGGCAGGGTTAAACTACACGATAGAGATATAGTTTTAGAATTAGACAGCAAACTTATAAAATCTAAAGATAAAGTAGCCCAAGCTTTTGAATCGTTCTTTTCGGAAATTGCTGTGAACACTACAAAATCATTAAATTCCTCCCCTTCACTTGCTATTGATATCCTAAAGGAAAATGTTAACGTTTGTGGCAGTTTATTTAATTTTCGTCATGTTAATCCACAAGACATCATAAAAGCTTTTAAGTCAATACATGTTAAAAAAACTGAAGATCTCTGGGGCATATCAACTAAAGTTATAGACTCAGTAATTAATCTCATTTCCCCACAGTTAGCTGTAGCTTTCAATAGGTGCGTTGACGAAGGTATTTTTCCCGATTTAATGAAATACAGCAAGGTTATTCCCTTATTCAAAAGCGGTAGGAAAGTTGATCCTAGCAACTATAGGCCCATTTCAATTTTACCAGCTTTAAGTAAAATATTCGAAAAGGTTATGCTAACTCAATTACTGTCCTATTTCGGTAGGAATCGTATTTTTCATAGTGAACAATACGGGTTTACTAGTGGTAGATCGACTAGCGATGCGGGGGTAGCGTTACTAAAACACATCTTTGATGCTTGGGAAAGGTCCCAGAACGCTATTGGTGTTTTCTGTGACCTCTCAAAGGCATTTGATTGCGTTGATCATAATACTCTTATTAGTAAGCTGGAACATTACGGTGTAAATGGCAAGGCGTCGAAACTTGTCTCGTCATATCTCAACGGTAGAATTCAGAAAGTAGGCATAAATGGAGCGACTTCTTTGGGTTCTCCAGTAAAAATGGGTGTTCCGCAGGGCTCAATACTTGGACCTTTCTTATTTCTGATTTATATTAATGATCTGCCATTCTTTGTTAAGGACCATTGCGAAATAGTGTTGTTTGCTGATGACACATCCTTGATTTTTAAAACAGACAGACATGACATTAACTATGACCGTATTAATGATACCCTCTCTAAAGTAGTTTATTGGTTTAATGCTAACAATTTATTGCTTAATGCCAAGAAGACAAAATGTGTTAAATTTGAATTACCTAACGTAAAATCGACTAGTCCAAGCATAGAAATAAACGGAGAAAAGTTAGACCTTGTTAATAAAGCAGTCTTCTTGGGAGTGACCTTAGATAGTAAACTTCAGTGGTTTCCACATATATCGTCCCTGGCCAGCAGATTAAGCTCCGCTGCATACGCAGTCCGCAGAATACGTGAGCTTACCGATGTTAGTACTGCTAGACTAGTTTACTTTAGTTACTTCCATAGTATAATGTCCTACGGGATTCTCATGTGGGGTAAAGCGGCAGATATTCAAACCATATTTGTATTGCAAAAACGAGCGATTCGTTCTGTGTACCGTCTAGGCTCTCGGGTATCTCTCAGAGAAAAGTTTAAGGAGACTGGTATCATGACTGTGGCATCACAGTACATTTACTCAAATATTTTATATGCCCGTAAAAATATACATAATTTCAATAAGAAAGAAGATATCCATAATATTAACCTTAGAGCTAAGTCCAAACTCATGGTACCACGATTTCGTTTAACCAAGGTAAACAACTCTTTTATGGGGAACTGTATACGTTTTTACAATAAGATTCCGGAGCATATATTAAGTTTATCATTTCCTAAGTTTAAAAAGTACATTAAAAATATTTTGATCGAAAAAGCATATTACAAAATTGAAGACTACGTGTTAGATAAAGATGTATGGAAAGACGACATGGCTCCAGAATCCACACAAATTTGATTCAAAATGTATTCCATAGCATTTAAGTTTATTTGAAAGGAGCAATCCCTAGAGTTTCTTGCTCGTTCTTCTCAGGGAGGTC